TTATCGTTATGTAATATGTATTTAATTAATCTTGTATCGCAATGATTTTACTTTTATTTGAATTATTAGTTAAATCTATAATAATTGCTTACAAATTATATTATTTAAAATTTTATGGAATTGTTTTAATGAAAATTACAAATTAATGAAAATAAAATATGGAATTTGTTTAATGGAAATTAAAAAATAAAATTGAAATGAAAGATAATAATATAATATAGAAGAGAGAGAAGAATATTCTCTTTTGGGGGAAAATGGGGGAATGGTTGGAGTAAGTTGTCCCCAAAATGGGGAAATCTCCATTTTGAGGACCAAAATGGGGGTAAAGGTTGGAGATGCCCTAAATGATGGTAACGCTAACACGAGAATTTTTCACATAACAACTTCTAGTAGAAGGAGAAGAAATCATGTATTCTTTAAAGATGACCAAGGGAATTGGATTGATAACCAAAGAGATATCCTTGCTCATGCCCAAACTTACTTTGAAAATACCTTCACAACTTCCCACTGCCTTTCTAAAATAATTGATGTTATAAGTGGTTTAGTCAGCTTTGACTCCCTAGACCTCTCCCCTCTAAACAAGCCTCTTTCGAATAGTGAAATCACCAACGCAATTTTTTCCTTTAAACCTTATAAAGCGCCCGGACCATATGGTTTACACCCATTCTTTTACCAAAAATACTGGAAAATTGTCGGGCCTAGTGTTATTTCTTTTTGCCATAAGGTCTTCAGTTCCTATCAAATTCCTGATAATATTAATAATACCTACTTATGCCTCATTCCCAAATTTCATAATTCTAATAATCTTAAGAACTTCCGACCAATAGGCATGTGTAACACCATTTACAAAATCATCACAAAGATTATTGCCAATAGACTGAAGCCCTTTTTAGATAAGATCACTAGTCCCTTCCAGTCTAGTTTTCTAAAAAATAGATGAGCTAGTGACAAAGCGATTCTGATTCAAGAAATCATTCACAATTTTAAAAATAGTTCTAGTAAAAAAGATAAAATGGTCCTAAAAAGAGATCTTGAAAAAGCGTTTGATAAATTGGAATGGTCTTTCATCTTTAGAACCCTTAACTACTTCAAAATTCCTCCCAACTTTTCAAAATTAATTATGTCTTGTATCACTTCATCTAGCATGGATGTCCTTGTAAACGGTACAAGAAGTGATTTCTTCTATCCTAGTAGAGGAATTAGACAGGGTGGCCCTATATCTCCTTATATTTTTATCCTTTGCATGGAGATGTTATCGAGATATATCAACTTCCAAATGGATATCAAAAGGTCGGATCTTGTAACTATTAGCTCTAATGGCCTTGCCCTCTCCCACCTTTTTTTGCGGACGACCTAACTCTAATGAGTCATATTAATCAAAAATCTTGCACTACTATTAAATTTGGCCTTGACATGTTTTGTAATCTATTCGGTCAAAGCATTAATATGGCTAAGTCAAAAATTATTTTCTCTAAGAATTGCTCCAAAGACATTAGAACTGCCACCTTCAACTTCTTTGGGGTGAAAAGTAGTGAATCATTTGGAAAGTACCTGGATTTTCTATCCTTGACTCCTCCCAAAAACCAAAGACTTCCTCTTTATTCTTGACAATATGCGTAATCGCCTTGCCGATTGGAAGATTAATTGTTTAAACATGACTGCTAGAATTACTCTTTCATCAACCACTCTTGCTAGCATTCCTAACTATGTAATGAAATATACCCTTCTACCAGACAAAATTCATAAAATCATTGATAAGCTTCAAAGAGACTTTATTTGGGGATCAAATGACTCTAAAATAAAACTCCATCTCCTAAGTTGGGACACGATTACCCTTGATAAAAACAAAGGCGGCCTTGGTCTTAGGAAAGCCAAATCAAAAAATTTAGCTCTCCTTACAAGCTTAGCATGGAGACTATTAAATTTTCCCCAAGCCCCATGGATAAAAGTTCTCATGCAATCCTACATCTTTTCTTCTATGAAGCGTCAATCTTTTTGTTGGAAGAGTATACTCAAGGGTTGAAAATATTGCAATAAAGGATAATTGTGGTACATTGGTCATAAATCCTCCCTAGGCATGTGGGATACAAGATGGATCCCTAATTGTCCCTGCCTAAGAAATGCTATTTAAGGCCCCCTAACGAAAAAAGACTCTTCATTAACTTTCAAGGACCTTATTAACCACAACAATTGGGCCTTGGATAATATTTCGATGATTTTGCTAGATAATATAGTTGGGAAAATTTTCTCTATCAAATTACCAATAGACAAAGGCAATGACTGTTTGATTTGGGAACCTAATAGTAATGATTTATTCTCTACAGCTTCTTGCTATAATCTAATTGAATCAGATATGATACCGACCAAAAGTTTTAGTTGGATTTGGGAAGTATATTGTCCCAATAAGTTAAAAATCCTTCTATGGAAATGTTACCATAATAGACTCCCTTGCAGATCCTATCTCCACCATATAGGAATGAACTTTGATAAAGTTTGTACTATTTGTAGTAATGATATTGAAGATATCCCCCATATTTTTATTCACTGTTTTGTAGCAAAAATATTTTGGCACTCCCTTAATCTAAGCATCAACTGGCCAAAGTCTGAGAACCACCATTGACTTGATAGATTAAGATTTTGTAATCCTACCATACCCTCTAAATTAATTACTTGGTCTCAACTTTTCCTTTTGCTATTTGAAACATTTGGCTTAATAGGGATAATAATAGTGAAAACAATACCTCTAATTACGTTTCTATTCCCTTAGTCATCAAACAAGCTACAGAATTTATTCTCCTGACCAGCAGAGAAAGTTGCTCTTCAACACGTGCTAGATGGTTTAAGTTTAATGTGAATGGAGCTTTCCAAAAAAATCATTGAGGCATAGGTGGAGTCATAAGAAGCAGTACTGGCGACTGGATTCTGGGATTCCATGATAGAATACAGGCATTAACATGTACACATGCAAAAATCCTGGCCTTAAAAAAAGGACTAGACCTGGTTCTTCAACATAACCTATGGCCGTATGAAATTGAAACCGACTCAACTCAGGTAATTGAATTATTACAGGAAAGCAACACCTCTTATGACTTTCATTTACAATTTTGCAGGTGGTTATTATCCACGAAGGGGAAGGAGTTGGTGATCCGGCATAACTTTCGACAAGGGAATGAAGTAGCTCACATGTTGGCACAGGAAGGAGTTAGGAAATCGAATCATGATAGATTAGTTTGCTATGTAGTAACCCCTGCCTTCGTTGAGCCCAGGATGCTGGTGGACAAGGAGGGTCTTTCATCTACCAATAAGTTAGTTAGTGAAAGTAACTGTAGGAAGCTAGCCAAACTTGGCAACCTTAAGTTAGTTTGGATCTTTTGTCAGACTATATGTAGTTTGAAGTAATAAATTATTCTAGTTTCTCAACAAAAAAAAAGGATATGGACAGTTCAAAATTGAAACTTAAAAAATGCGCAGTTTTAATATTAGATAAGCCATTGAGAAGTGAAAATAGCACGGGCTAGCCAGTTTTCGGACTGGTAATTGAAAAATAGTCAGTATTTGCAAAGTCATTGAAAAATAGCCATTATTTTGCTGCAACACGAAAAGTTGCAGCATAATATACTGGAGATTGTATGAACTTCCGGCATATTATGCTAGAATTCCAGCACACAGAAAGTTCCAGCATAATATACTGGAGATTGTAGCACCTATGTATGAACTTCTAGCATATTATGTTGGAACTCTAGTATATTATGCTGGAAGTTCACATGTAAAAAATTCAAACTCCAGTATATTATGCTGGAATATTTTTCGGATTTTGAACAGTGTTTCCGTTCATATTTATCTTTACATGAAAAGTGACAAAATTTCGATTACTTTTAAAATTGTGGCTATTTTTCAATTACCACTTGTAAATCTGGCTATTTTTGAATTTCATGCCAGAAATTAAATAAAAGAATAGTGTAAGTCATAGCTTTTTATAGTCTTCGTTATATGGTCATGCAACTACTACGATAAATGCTTTATAGTCCATGCTGTGGACGTACAAATATAGTGATAAATGCGCAAAAGATAGCAATGACAGAAGATTGACCAATGTGAGGTCGAGTGTATCTCAAGGTTTTGGGGTGCCTCTCCTGCCACGATTATAGTTAAGTGCAACTCTTGCTGCGACTAGGTTCAGAATAGAATACCTCCTAGATCAAAATAGGATACCTTTTCAATTCTTTTCTCTGTTTCTGCTGTTATAATTGTCTTGAATTTATCTGTCTTAGGATTATTGCATATTCTTCGACACCCCTAATAAACCTTATTAACTCCAGCTACTCGGATATTCCGACTACAAATAAACACTTTAGGCAATGCGATGTGCAGCTCATTGATCCGATTGAACGTAACATTTGCCTGCTATAAACCTAAGGGAAAAAACCAATCTATCCAAGCAAGTTTACAAAGTAAAAACGGCAAGTATTTGCTGCAAATATACAAGCTACTCATAATCAAAAGAAGTTAACATCACCATCGCCCCTTTGTGAGGAGGATGATAGTCATGAACTAAAACCATAAACAAAGAGGTGGAACAAGATTTGGCTAAACTGCAGTATAGTCTTATGTCTCTAGTCTCTTCTTGGTGTACTAGGAGGTCCCTTGTCGTATAGAGGATTGAGCCACTTTTGTCGAGAACCATATTTTGATGTAGGTTCTTTTTTTGATATACGGATTTCGGGAGCTTGTTTGTAAAGGATGTTCGACTCCTGTTATGTAATTCTCTGTACCATCTTGGTACCTTTAGCAATAAAATTTACCTTACCCCCCAAAAAAAGAGAAACGGGAAATATAGGTAAACGTTTTTGGTGGGATAACATATCACACCACCTTTTAATGCATAGTTATCTTTAAATCTCAATTTAATTTGTCTTTGTTTCAGGGGTTTCTTTGGTCAAGGACCAGGGTTGGAGGGCGTAACGGGAGGAGAATTTAAGACAATCATACATCAAGTACAATTTCCTATTATTGTAAATTATGTGCTCAGCTTTCCATTGATTCTGGCAAGAAGCCAGATGATAAATTAGCAAAGCAAAACTCTTCACATATTCATGAGGATATATATCTCCCAAAGATTTTATCAGAAATTCCTATTAACACCCACAAGACTGCACAAAGTACTCCAAGTAAAGAAAAACAAAAAAATCCATTCTTGGATTTGCCCGAACTACTTGAAGTTGCAGAGGTATTACCTGCAGCAACATTTATGTTCCTGGCATTTAATTTCATCCTACTAAAGCTAGACATACGCTCAAAGGCCCTGCTAACTAGAGCACTTTCAGCAGCTGAAGCAGGCGTGGTGGGTATAGAATCCACGAAAGCCCACAAATTAGAGGAAATCCACGATTGTGCACCATCATCCTTTTTGGCTACTGGATTTTGATTTGCGCCCATAGGATGATTTGTATTATTATCATATACCACACCTAAACATTGCCAAAACTTGCTAAAGTTAGAATAAGATCTAGCACCAATATATTAACAGCAGAAGAGCTCTTGAAGCTGGCTCAAACTCCCCCATTTCCACTTGGGCAAAAGAGTTCTTGCCATGCTGAAGATGACATGGTTATTCAATACCATCCATCTGTCCATGAGCTCCACTAAGTCAGATAACATAGAGAATGTGTTTTATACAAATCTTGAAAAGTATGACAATATTAAGGCATTAGCCAAGCAAAACTGGCAGCATCGCTATATGGAATTCTTTGAATACCTGAAGTTGCTTGATGAACAACTGATTGGTCTCCTTCAATGGGGTTAAAGACGTTGAAACTTTCATCATGTCTCCACAATTGATGGTTTATCTGGTTTTCATGATTCAAGTGCATCTGCCGGTTGTTCATTATGTCATTTTGGAAAGTGCTCATGTATGTAGTGGAATCTGGGTATGCAATCCCATTCACAAAGTTGTTCATATATGGTTCACCATTTTGCCCCACCGTTGTCCCCTCATTATCAAGAATCAAGTGTGCATCATACAGGTCAAATTCTCCTAAGCCATCGAAGCCATCAAACTGCACAGTCTCCAGGTTTCCAGCAGGATTGTCGAAGATTTGACCATTTGGTGTTTGATTATCAAAGTTTTGAATAGAGAGTGCTGAATCATCAAAGTTTTGAACACTCGGTTCTGGACCAAGAAGGTCATCCATCTCCAGAAAGTCTTCCAGGAAATCCTCTTCCACCGCATGTAGTGGCTTTTCAGGATTCACAGGAGCAGATGAGACCTCCGCTGCCTCGTGCAACTGCAATTGTGATGTGCCTGATTGTGTCAGGTCAAAGCTTGCGTTCACATTATACTGCTGGCAGCTTGGGCCAACAACAGCACAATGATTGTACAAATTAACTTCCCTTGAGGACTGATCTAGCAAGGTACTTTCAGTATCTTCCTCTTGTACAAGCTGATCCAATGCATAGTCGTTATCTACAAAGAAAGGCTCAAGAAGCACAGGCTCATCATCTGCAATACGTTTCAGCAGTTCCTCAAGGGCATCAGCAGCAGCAGCTGGAACTTCATTAACGTGCTTTGTGGAATTCTCCTGCTGCTGAACAGAGACTTCGGCTACCGGACACTCATCATCAGCCCAGTCCTCCTCTTTAAAAGGTGCACCATATTGCTCACCATTCTTGGGGCCAGGCCCGCTCTTCTTAAAGACCTTGTAAAGCGCATAGTAGTCCTGTGCATTCTCGCATCTTTTTAGCTCTTCTTCATCCATGGTATATTCATGCATCACCCAATCTGTCCGTTCACCTACAGGTGCTCGGCCTTTATAAAAGACAAGTGTCTTCTTGACTCCAACTGCACGAGAGTTGCATGTAATAATACGATCCTTTCCAGTAGCTTTCCAATACCCGTGCTTTGTTGCCCTGTTTGACCGTGCTCCGTTGGGATATTTTCGATCTCTGGGACTAAAGAAGAACCACTGCCTGTCTCCAGTTTTTAACTTAGACAAATCTGCAATTCAAATTTGCAAAAATAAAAAGTCAGTTAAGAGTTCAGAAGATTAAAACATGGTCATGAAAGTACATCAACCCAAATATGAGTGTCAACCAGCAACAATTAGTTTCAGACAATTGAAGAGAATAAAATATCGTATGAAATTCAAGTCAGGAAGCACATCAAGAGAGGAAAAGCCAGCAAACAAACAAAGAGAAGAATGATGAATTTAGAAAACAATAGCTATACATGGAACATCATCATTTCCATTAATGTCGAAGAATCATAAATATACTTAAATGCATGTCAAATACTGATAATGATACTTCCTTTCTTTTCTCACAATTAAACTACTGAGAGCTTACATATGTCCTCGATCTCTATTCTTATTCATCCCTCAGTCCACATACAAACTCTGATCACAATATACACAAAAAACACATGACTCAAAATAGAACCTAGCCCCCCCACCCCCCAAACCAAAAAAAACACAGTAAACCTTTTATAGAAACTCAAAATTAAGCGAAAAGAACATCTTTATGACAGATCTACTTCACCCCAAATAAATATTTGTCAAGTAAACAAACACAATAGAGCCAAGATGACTAATATTCCTTGCACAATGTACAATACATAAACATCACATATAATCCTTCAACCAATACACACCTTCATCCACAGAAAGAATTAAGAAAGCAAAAATGGTAAAATCATGCCAAACAACAAAGTCAACAACAAAAATACTCCAGAAAGAAAACAATACAACACCCAGTTAAATCAAAATCCTCAAAAAAAAATCACAAACAGAACATAACAACACACTTCACACACCAAAACCCTACAAAAACAGTCACTCAGATGATCAAATCAAGTCAACTCCTCAAAAAACACATACAAATCTAATCTTTCAAGTTATAATAACAAAAATCTAATATAATAAAAGAATTGATACATACCAGGCAAATCTTCAGGGTCCCACTTGTACACGTCAGTCTCAGCAATAGCATCAAGCAAGATCCGACGCCGACAGATCTTCCTCTTCAAGTAGTACACAACAAGCTCCTCATCTGTCGGGTGAAACCTAAACCCAGGTGGAAAAACATTACTTTCTCCAAAAACCTTAATCTCTTTACAAGCTGATGATGATGACGGGGTTGATGAATCCACCAAAAGCTTCATCTTTTCTTCAAAAATCAATAGAATTACACTGTATATCTGAATATGTGGCTGTGATTGTAGAGGAAAAAGTGTAAAACTGAAACCCTAGAAAGATGAAATTGAGAAGGGTCAATTGAGGAGAATGACCCTAAGAGGTGCGAGTGTAGAGTTGATTGGTCAAATAAGAAATAGCGAAGAAAAATACACCCCCGCGGCTTTTTTTTTGGTAGGAATTTGGTGTGACTAGGTTTAGTGAGATTTGAGTGGGGTTCTTGTATTATGAATATTATTATGAATTAAAATAAGGTTTTGGTTAATTAGAAAATGGAAATTTATTTTTTTTTGTAAAATCTGTTTAGTGAAGAGAAAATTCTACAAAGAATAGAAGCAAGTGAGCTGACTAATTTGGAAATTTTGGGACTAAAGTAGTATTTTCCGAGGTTTGAATTATTTTGTACCTAAAACTTGCTCGAATTGGATTCTTTCGATTTCTTGATTCTTGAAAACTCAATGTAAGGTTTGTCCTTTTGGGGCAAATTCATGTATCCCATAAAGGGTAGTGTCATGGTTTTTTGCCCAAAAAATCAGTCGAACAATTGGGTAATAGTAGTACATTGCCAAAAAAGTTCAAAATAATATTAGTGAAAGATATTATTATATGTTATTGTCTTTATGTCAAAAAGGTGAGATGTTTTGTAGTCCCCTCAATTCGAAAGTCAATTTGATAAATTAGATTGATGTAATATTTAAAGTAAAAATTTAAATATTCAAAAATTATATAAAAAATACTATTAAATATAATTTTTTTCATGTCAATATGATAAAAAAAAATTATGTCAAAATATGAATTTGAATCTTAAATGCTAAAAGATTCACATAAATTGAAACGAAAAGAGTATTATATTTTTTAAGTAATTCAATTTCGATCTTAATTCAAAGTTTTGAACCGTTCGTTGCTAAGCATTCTTCAAAAAATAAAGATTAATGGTAAATTTTTATTCCACATGTGTGTACACAAGAGACAAAAAACTTCAAATTATATAAAAGGCAAAATTCGTAGACAGTCCCTTAAACTTGTCGCTAACTGCTAAAAAGATGCTTCAACTTTGCAAGCTGGCATTGAGACACCTCTACTTGATAAAGCAATGACCCTAAGTCACGTGTGCGTTTTTATAAAAAATAAATAAATAAATCTCATTTTTTTGGCTTAAAATACTTCTCTTTTCTCTCCCTTCCCCTATTTTTCATGGTCAACCCTCACCTCCTTCATTATCTTTGTATCATTTCGGGCCAGTTAAGTCATAAAAAGAATTCACTTTTTCTCGGGAGAAATTCAAAAATAATCAGATTTACAAGTGGTCATTCAAAAATAGTCAAAGTTTCAAAAATCATCGAAATTTAGTCATTTTTCATGTAAATATAAATCTGAACGAAAACACTGTTCAAAATCCGGAAAATACTCCAGCATAATATACTGGAATTCCAATATAATATACTGAAAATACCGGTCTAGCATAATATGTTGGAAGTTCATACACAGGTGCACCGAACTCCAGTATATTATGCTGGACCGGTCTCTATGGCAGCAAAATAGTGGCTATTTTTTAATTACTTGACAAACGCCGGCTATTTTTGAATCACCAGTCCGAAAACTGGCTAGCCCGTGCTATTTTGACCTTTTTTCTCGGAATTTTTTTTTTAAATCAATCTTTGGCCATGAAAATTTTATTTTTTTACTTGAAGTTGAATTTCGGATTTTTTCAAAAATTCGAAAAACTCCGAAAAAACTATTTTTTAAATTTTCACTTCAAATCACTCACAAAAAATTAAAAACAACTCCAAATTATATTCATATCCAAACATAACTTTAATTTTCAAATATTATTTTCACTTAAAAAAATATTTCACTTTTTCCGAAATTTCACAATTTTTATGTCCAAACGGCCACTTCATACAAATTTTTCTTGCCCCAGCATCAATCAGCCAAATACTATATTTGTCGCCACCAGAAAAAAATTGTTTTAATCTTTAAAAGCAATATCCTCATTTTCATTTTGAAAACGCGACACTCCATCAACCTGTATGACTACTAATCACCATCCTGTCTAGCAATCAGTAGCCACCACAAAATATTTGCAATATCTTATCCATAAACACATAAATTGAGGGGCCGACCCACGTAATGGTAAGCAGGTTCAATTAAATTCATCTTGCCAAAAAATAATAGTATGTATATATATAAATTACAGCTAAAGCAGGATAATTAAAGTATAGATATTATATTTAAATCCACTTTGACAAAAAATGTGCTCCTGCAAAGTAGTCAAGAGAGCTCATAGTATTTTTTTTTTTTTTTTTTGTATAGATAGCAATAAGAATCAGGAGGAAAAAAGATAGCAGCAAAAATGTGCAATGGTAGTCTAGTATAACAGTCATTTCAATCAAATCAAATTATTTGCCTGGTATATATTTTGATGTTTTCTTTAATTTACTTTATAGTTTATTTTCTTTACTTCAATTCAATAGAAATTATGTTGAAGTTTATTTTACTTCAAAAGGTAATTTTAGTTCTCTCTTTCATAAATTTTGCTAAGATTTGCAAATATATTTGTTGAAATTATTTATCATTTGTTAGTTTAATTTAATTTAGTTTATGTTGAATTTTTTTTCATTGTTTTATATTTTTAATTTTTTATTTAGTTCATAAGCTCTCTTTCTTTTATTATTAATGTTAATTTAATTTAGTTTGTAATCTTTTTCTTATTGTCTTCTTTTGCAAATAATAATTTATTACTTATAAATACTGAAAATATTTTATAATCGACGAATTTTAAAATTGGACAAAATTATTTTTGTTAAAGGTCAATAAAGTAGCTAAAGTTAGATTGGTTAAATTAAAATAAGCAAAAAATTATTTAAAATATAAAGCACCGACTTTAAGAGGCATTAATTATGAGATTACAATGTGAACAATAAAGACAAAAAAACTTGCTAATCGTGTCTGATACCATTTATATTAGTTATGGACTTCTCTGATTGAGTCCGCTTGAACAAAATTCTAAATTCGTCGGTGCATAGACATCGACACCCTTTGAAAGCAGTGACGGCTCTATGGTGAAGCAAGTAGAGTACTTGCTTTAGGCCCCCANCTATCTCTTTAATTTCTTTCTTATTTTCTTTCAATTCAACAGTTCTAAAGTTTTATTGGTAAAAATTTAAGATCATTAGATGACGAGAACTTAAAAACATATTGTCTTAACCTTGAATGTTCCTTAAAATATAGTAGTCACTCTAATATTGATGGTTTAGACTTATTTTTAAAATTAAAAATATTTTTAAAAAATAGTACAAGTAGAAAATAATACTCTAATTGACACATTCAATCAAATAAAAAGACTTAATTATTTTTCAAATGCATTTATTTCTTATAAAATAATATTAACAGTTCCTATAACAGTTACCAAATAGAAATAAGTTCTTTAAAATTAAAATTAATAAAATCTTACCTAAAATCAATAATTCTCAAGAAAGATTAAATGAGTTAGCGATATTGTCATTTGAAAACAAATTATTAGAAGAAATCGATAATAAGAACATTAATTACAACTTTATATCTCAAAAGGCAAGAAATATATATATTTTTTTGGGGAAAAATATTTTTTACCTTTTAAAGTTAAGCCCCCAAAAAATTTTGGCTTTATGCCACTAAAATGCTTGAGCCGTCCCTATTTGAAAGTACACTCATAAACACTGTTAAACTTTATCGCCGCCCCCTTAACTACCACATCTATATATTATTAAAAGGAGAGGGAAAAGCCCTCCCCTTAAGCCAATTGGTAGCCTAAAAAAAATCACATGGCATAAGTAGTTAATAATTAGTTATTGATTATTGTTTTTGAATTTAAATATTTAAAAATAATAAAATAAAATATTTTAGAATAAAAAATGAAAATTAAAAAAAACTGTCTATTCAAATTTGAGGGTAGTTTCAAGTTGGAGTTTTAAAATTATTTTAAAATAAAAAGCTAAAATTAAAAACAAAAAAAAATGCCAATTCAAAATTTCTTTGGTTTTCTTAATAATTTTTGTTTTTCTTTTTAAAACTAAAAAGTTTATTTATTCAGAACATATTATTGAAAATAATAAAATAAAATATAAAATATAAAAATATATAGCTTCTATTATATTATAAAAAGAAATAGCATACAAAAATTTAAATAAAGTAATATGCTAATAAAAGTTTCTATTAACAATTCAATAATACTAAATATGGATAAGATAATAATAAAAAATACAAAATAAAAAAGTTATTCGATGCCTATATAAGTTTCTTTAATTTAATAGAGATTTTATTCATTAAAGTTTAGATAATATTATTGAGAACAATCTATATATTATTAAAAGGAGAGGAAAAAACACTCCTCTTAAGCCAAGTGAGAGCCTAAAAAAAGCCACATGACATAATCTTATATTATTAAAAGGAGAGAAAAAAACCCTCCACTTAAACCAAGGGCAACCTAAAAAATGGCACATGGCATAACCTATATATTATTAAAAGAAGAGCAAAAAACACTTTCTTTAAACTAAGTGACAGTCTAAAAAAAAGCCACATGGCATAATCTATATCTATATATTATTAAAAGGAGAGGAAAAAACCCTGCTCTTAAGCCAATTGGCAGCCTAAAAAAAGTCACATGGCATAAGTAGTTAATAATTAGTTATTTAGTTAATAATTAGTTATTGGTTATTATTTTTGAATTTAAATATTTATAAAATAATAAAATAAAATATTTTAGAATAAAAAAACGAAAATTAAAAAACATTGTCCATTCAAATTGGAGGGTAGTTTCAAATTGGAGTTTTTAAATTATTTTAAAATAAAAAGCTAAAATTACAACAACAACAACAACAAAAAAATGGCAATTCAAAATTTCTTTGTTTTCTTAATAATTTTTGTTTTTCTTTTTAAAACAAAAAATTTTATTTATTCAGAACATATTATTGAAAATAATAGAATAAAATATAAAATATAAAAATATATAGCTTCTATTAAATTATGAAAAGAAATAGCATACAAAAATTTAAATAAAGTAATCTATATCTATATAAAGGAGAGGAAAAAGCCCTCCCCTTAAGCCAAGTGGCAGCCTAAAAAAAAGTCACATGGCATAAGTAGTTA